GATGGCCAAAAAGCTGAGTTTAAGCTTTGTTTACATGTCACCAGACTGTATCTGATGCCTCCTCTTTCATATAAACAGATGCCAAATTCAACAGTTCAACTCTTCTGGGACAGCCTTCTACAAGATGTAGGAGTGTGTTTATGGGAACAAAAACATTCTTTTTGATGATTATTCCAAAAGCACATTTGAGGTCCAGACTGTTCCTGCAAAGTTGTGCAACATGTTTTGGTATGCTGAAGCGTTAAGGGTACCTTTCAGTGGAACTAACGGGCTAATCCAACGCTTTGCATTCCGCTTGATGATGCAAGGCTTGAATGCAGCTGCTCAGGCATGAAGCTCTATACCCACCGCTCTTGAGCTAATCGGAAGCTTACATGAACTTTGGAGGTCTGCGGCGATTGATTTTTCAGAAAGCCTCTGCACACTATGGGCCTTGGCACCTGCTGACCTCGTTCTGTGATTTTATGCGGACTACCATCTCATGGCTGTGTCGCTGTCATTCTCAATCGTTTCCCCTTTGTTATAATATCACTAACATCTGACTGTGGAATATTTAGTAGCGAGGAGCATGTGGCATCTATCACAGTACCACACTGGAATTCACTGAGCTCTTGAGAGCGATTCTATCACAAATGTTTATAGAAGCAGTCTGCATGCCTGGGTGATTTTATCCACCTGTGGTCATGGAAGTGACTGGAACACCTGAATTCAATGATGTAGATGGGTGAGTGAATACTTTTGGCAGTATAGTGCATCTTTCTTCTTTTGCTGTATTTGTCAACTTTGACACATGTGATGCTAAATAACATTTTCTGTCCACGTTTACCACGGTGTGTTTGGGTAGTTGTGTGTACCTGGGTGAGGTAATAGATGTGGGTGTGTTCAACAACATTCAAGGCATTAACAGCTCCTCTGAAGGTGTAGATCTGCTGATGAGGATCGCCAACCAGGATTTTCCCACAGCTCTGAGACAGCAGCACATCCATGATGGCTGAAACAAAACAAACAACAGTCAGTGGACAACATGAAAGCATAAAAGCTGAGCTAAATCATCAAGGATTTGCTTTTCTGCAAACATGTGAGCCTGTGGGAGTATTTCAGTACCGGGAGTGCAGTCCTGGGCTTCATCAATGAAAAGAGCATTGTATGCACCCGACAAGCAAGGCTTTGGGTCTTGGAGCTGCCATAACTTTAGGTAACCTGGGAATGAAATGTTCCAGTGATCCTCCATCATTTCTTTACACAACGTAGTAAACATAATTATATTTCTTCATTTCACAGTTGGCGTACCATCGTGGGTCATGTAATAGGCATCTTTTGACTTCTCATTCAAATCCTTCATTTTTTTCCAGATTCTCTGTGCATCACGGACGACCAACTGAAACAAGGATTTCATGATAACACAAAACACACTTTAGATGTAGCTTCATAATAAATTACTTCATAGGTACAGCGCCGATCTTTTATATACTTTAAAACGTTTATACCAGTTTTTCATCATGATCTATATCCTTGCGGAAGTTGTTTTTAGTCACACGAGAGTTGGGAACATGTCTTATAGTGATGGTTTCATCTGTAGAAGCCATAAAGGCATTGAGGGTTGTCATAACCACTTTGGCCTTGGTGAAGCCACCGCGGCCTTTGGGCAGAACAGAACTGATGGCGAAAGCCTTCATGTTAAAGGTCAGCTTGTCACGGAATTTGTATCTGAAAGGGAGAGAAGAGAGCACGATAGTATTAAAACGAAGGCCTGCCATCACGAGCATCTGAGAACTCTGATTCTCACCTCTTCCCTACGTCATTATAGGCCAACGAGTGGACGGTCTTGCAGTCCACGTTCCTGGGGAAGCGGCGGCGTGCCTCCGAAGCCACAGAATTGTTGAAGGCCACATAAAGGAAGCGAAGGTCCGGCCGCTGCTCAGCGTACTTCACTAGTGTGGTAGTCTTCCCAGTACCTGTGTCACACAGCACTGACCTTTAATGAAGCTACGACACAAAGACCCGTCATCTGCAAATGTAGCCTACGTCACACAAGCTGCACTGATGACAAAAGATTCATATTTTACATCTATGTTCCCTACGGGCTGACGGCATCTTTATACCACTGTCTGCTGCAGAACCTTAAAGAAAACGGAGGTAAAAGGGCTCATTTCAGGCTAAAAGGCTTCATGTAATCATGTAATGCTCCTCCAGTGCAATCCCACAGCTATAACATAAAGAAATGAGCGTATAAAAATGAGCATATCAGACCCATTTTACCAAGGTGTTATAAAGGAGAAAGAGCGCCCCCTGGTGATGTCTCAAATCCTATAGCATTAAACGTATTTAGTGCAGACAGTACACGCAATGGGAACGAATGGGAAAAGTTAATAAAAATGGATATTGCAGTGTTGTTCTTCTATAAACATTCAATCCACTGGCCAGTGACACATACTCTGGCTGGCCTAAAAGATTCATGTAAGGGCACTGTCTCCAATTCCACTTCCTTACTGTACCTGCAAATGCTATTATCTTAACCACGTGGTCATCCTGGATATTGTGGCTGAGGATCTGCTGCTGTTCTTGCGTGAGGTGGATCTGGGGCCGCCTAGCAGAGACACCAGAAACAAACAAAAAAAGTGCTAAAACTCCTCAAGCATCAGTCCAGCTCTAATTATTTAAATGTCTGCTGAATATTACATATACAAGTTCAGAAAAAAGAAAATCACACTGGCTGTTAGTTTATTATGTGAATAAGCAAAAATCAATCAGGAAAAAATGGTCTCCAGTGAATTCGTTTGGCCTGCAGTTTGAATCCCTCTTAAGACAGTTAAACAAACATCATGAGCTGAAACATGATTAGATCCAGAAAAAAAAAAAAAAGGACTGAACCTCCATCAAGGAAGGTTTAAGCAACTTGCAAGTAATTATGACGGTATAAGGGGAGGAGGACTCGCTCTTTATGTAAACAACCGCTGGTGTTCCTCTAGTCACGTTAAGGTGAGGACGGCTGTGCGTAATAAACATACTGAACTGTTAGCAATCGGTCTTCGACCATATTATCTACCGTGAGAGTTTTCCCTCGTCATAATTATCATTGTTTACTCCCCTGGGCAGGGCTGATCACAACCTTGTCCACCTCCAGCCCTTTTACAAACCTATCATCCCGAGGCAACCTGCAGTCACAAAAATTGTTATAAGATGGACAAGGAAGACAGAAGAGACTCTGCAGGGCTGCTTTGAGGCAACGGACTGGGATGTTGTCTGTAATGCTCATGGGGACAATTTTGACAATCTGACTGGCTGTGTTACAGACTATAGCAACTTCTGTGCGGAAAATGCGGTTCCCAAAAAAAAAAAAAAACATTCATTGCTTCCCCAACAATAAACCTTGTTACCCAAGGTAACATCAAAGCTATGCTAAACAAGAAAAAGAGATTTTTCAGAAACTGTGACAAAGAACAGTTGAAATGTGTGCAGAAGGAGCTTAAAGCCAAGACTGCTGAGGGAAACAAGTCCCTCAGAAGAAAGCTGGAAAGCAAACTCCAAGAAAACAATACCAGGGAGGTGTGGAAGGGAATGTGGGCCATTACTGGCCTGAGACAAAAGAGGTGTGTGGATGGATGGGGATGTTGAATGCGCAATCAACCTAAATCTGCACTTCAATAGGTTTGACTGCCCTGCATCTCCTGTCCCCACACCCAGCTCTTCCCATCTTCTCCATTTTCCTCCCCCCCCCTCCTGCTCCCTCAGCCTGTCTCTCTTTGTCCCTCTCAGCAGATGACATCAAAAGGGAACTGTGCATACTCCACTTCAGCAAAGCTGCTGGCCTTGATAGTGTCTGTTCCAGGGCCCTCAGGTGCTGTGCTGCCCAGCTGTCTAGAGCTCTATATCAGATCTTTAACATGAGTCTGAAACTGCAGAGGGTCCCATCACTCTGGAAGACATCCTGCCTGGTTCCTGTCCCCAAAAAGATCAACCCGTCGATCCCCAGTGACTACAAGCCAGTGGCTCTGACCTCACACGTCATGAAGACGCTGGAGAGACTCACCTGCATCTGCTGGTGGAGCCTTGGCTGAACTCCTTAAAGTTTGCTTATCAACCCCGTATCGCCGTGGAGGACGCCATCACCTACCTGATGGACCAGGCTTATTCTCATCTGGACATTGTTGAGAGCATTGTGAGGGTCATGTTCTTCGAATGCTTTTAACACGATCAGTCCATCACTGCTGGGCAATAAGCTCAAGAAAATGCAGGTGGATGCATCAACGGTAGCTTGGATTACGGACTATTTAACAAATTGACCACAGCATGTCTGGCTGAAGAGCTGCCACTCGAATAACATCCTAAGCAGCACGGCAGTGCCACAGGGACTGTCCTATCACCATTCCTCTTTACCCTCTACATGTCTGACTTCAGGTACAAGTCTCAGTCATGTCATGTGCAGAAAGGAGGAGGAATACAACAGTGTGGTGGACAGCTTTGTTGTGTGGTGTGAGCTAAATCATTTCCAACTTAACATCGCAAAGACAAAGGAACTGATTGTCGACTTTACGAAGCATGCTCCTCCTCCTACCCCTGTAACCATCAGAGGGGTTGTTGTGGAGGTAGTTGAGGACTACCGGTACCTGGGGGTACACACTGACTGTAAACTGGACGGTCCAAGAACACAGAAGCTGTCTTCAAGAAAGGCCAGAGCTGGCTTTTCCTACTGATGCAGCTTAGGTCCTTTAATGTTTGTAGGAAAATATTTACCAAGTTCTATCACTCTGTGGTAGAGAATGTTGTGTTCTTTGCAGCTTTGTGCTGCGGCAGTGGGGTGAAGACAGCTGATGGCAACAGGCTGAACAACCTGGTTAAAAAGGCTGGTTCTGTCCTGGAGAACCCGGTGGAGGTGTCTGAGAGGAGAATGCTAGAAAAGTGTCTCAGTATCATGGACAACCCTTCTACGCCTCCATGATGGGCCATCGGAGCACACGTAGGAAAAAAACCTCATCGCCTCTGAATGCAGAACTGACCAGCACAGGAAATCCTTCCTGCCGGTGGCAATAAGACTGTACAACTCTTCTTTCATCGGTAGATGATTTTCTAGGATTAATATGATTGTATTTTGTTCTCACTCAGATTGTGCAATATTATTCACCTGTATGTTACTGAATGTTTGTTTCATCCCCCCATCATATGCTGCTACTCTCTTTATTCATTGCACTAACATTATGTCACTTGTCATAATTACTTGTAGTAATAGTTATGTTATTTTATCTGCGCTCATTTTTTCTCTTGTTGCATTGAGCATGTTTGCGACAAAAGAATTTCCCTCGGGATAAACAAAGTTCTTCTTATCTTAATCGGTTAATGGGCTTCACCTAATGAGAGTTTACCAGAGCTGACTGAAACTGCTGAGAATTATAGGATCAGTTGGAATAAATTCTTGCAACAACAAGAGAAACGCTTCAAATCACATACAGAAAGAAATCTTGCTGAGCCGCTCTTATTCAGTCTTCTCAAAGTATTGAATAAAATATCGATATTTAGCGTCCCTGTATCGGTATTACAGAACTAACATATTTTGACCTCACCTGCTCTGTGGAGAGCTGACAGGGAACGGGCCATTCTCCATCAGGTGGAGGACATAGTAAATGTTGTAATGCAACCTGAGCAGGCAGAAAAAAGAAAAACAAACAGTGTGACGAATGATGAGAACAGAAATCCGGATTGCTACTCGTTATTCATCTTACCTGTTACTGACAGTGACTTTGTTCCTTTCTAAAGCGAGCAGCATCATGGCCATGTGGCAGAGGTACTCTGTGATGGCCGAGTGTGACATGCAGCCCGTGAGCAGAGACACTAAGGCCTGCACATCACCAACACCCTCACTCAGGATCAGTATGACAGCCATGGCTGCATACGGGTTAGGACCCTGGAAATCAGATCCATTGTGGACACACTTTAAAACTCAGATTGTCTCTATATGATCACATGGCATTTTTTATGTATTAATGAGTGAGTCATACAGTAATTCCAAGGTTAAAGTGCTTCTGAACATCAGAAATACGCAGTCTGATGGAGGCCTCAGCTTGAGGGAAAAGGCGATGTTTCTTTACACGCTCCAGAACGTCATCTGGCCTCAAGCGCTCTCCAACCTTATGCTGAGCCATTAAACTGATAATAAAGACAACACACACAAACACACAGAGTGACATTTTAAAAATGAGAAATTGATATCAAATTCCAGTCACACACACACACACACACACACACACACAATGTGAGATCAGCTTATTTACACTTTTTTTTTTTTTTTACAGCGAGGGTGGCCACAGCAACTCGTATACAGGAGAGACTTGCATCACTTCCCAAACCAACCTTCCCAGTCAGATCAGAAACAGTCATATTGGAATCATATTAACCAGAAATACATGAATAATTTTCTGCAGTTCAAGGCGAGACTTCATGTGGTGGACATTTTACAAGAACTTCAACTGTTTTGTAATTTTTCTTATTAAAGAAAGAGTAACTTACACAACTAGCTTTCGTATGCTGTGCTCTGAAGATGCTGGCCCTGTTATACCGCTGTTCCTCAGGATGGAGCAGATCTCCATCTCTGTATGCCTCTCTCTCATCATGTAGCGATAGTATTGTTTCTTGAAAGGCACAAACTGTGAAGAGAAGCACATCCAACATGACTTTGACATTTCGCTCCACGTGCTCATTTTCATTTTGCGATTGTTGTTTGGTGTCATCTTACCGTGCTGTCCTGGACGATGTTCCTCCAGCGATGGCAAACGAGCCTGACATTGAGGTACAGGTCCTGGGCAGGTAGGAGGCACAGCACCTCTCTCAGCACCTCCTCTGGAAGGTCGTCCATGCAGCCCTGGGGTTTCAGCAAGCCGCTTCTGCTGCCCAGGAGCCCAAAGTGGGCATCGGGAAGGGCCTCCACCTCCTCTTCTTCATTATCAATGTCACACTGGTCAAATTCATCATCATTCCCAAACATCTCAGCCGTCATTCCCTCCAGATAATCCACCTGCTGCTCTTCCTTCACCTTAGACTGCGGCATCATCTCAACAGCCAACAGGCTGGCATCGTCAATCTCCTCCTCCTCGCCTGCCTCAGGCTCTGGCATCATCACAGCAGCTAAAAGACTGTCATCGATATCCTCCTCCTCTGTTATCCTGAGCTGTGGTGCCAAAGGTACAGCCAACAGGCTGATATCGTCATCCTCATCCTCCTCTTCTTCTGCAGCTCTTGGCTCTTCCTTGGAGGTGGAAGGCAGGGAGGATTTGTGCGGACTGGAGCTGAGGACTCTCGCCACAGAAAAAAATTCATTGATACCCTTCTGTCTCCCAGAAGGACTTCCTGTGGCAGGTGCTAAGAGAAAAAGGACACAGATTTATAATCTGATTCTTTAGACTTTTTGTCAAAAGGCAAAAAATACATCCATAAATCATTGGTTTAGTTTAGTAAGGTTGTCTGTTGTGTTCTTTCATTTCTTTTGGTGTCACTGAGCTGCTAAGTGTTGATTTATCAAATTCTAAGGTCTTTGCCGATCTCTGATAGTTTTATTGGTGGTTTTCAGTCTTATTTGCTCCAACATATCTTTGGGTCTCATATTTAAAATTGCATTAAATTTACAGTTAAATGCAGTGCACTTCAATCACAGCTTGACTGCTTGGTTTACAGTCCACTACAAAAACTGTGTCTTCCTCCTAAAGACATGACACAAAGAAGCTGGGGTGGCTGTAGCTCACGTGGTAGAGCAGGTCATCTGTTAAGCAGTCAGCACTTAACAGTTATTGATTGGGTGAATTAATTAGTTGTATAAAGCACTTTGAGTGCTCATATAGAGTTGAAAAGTGCTATATAAGAACCAGTCCATTTAACATTTACCAAGTCACATGCTCAGTGTTCCTTTTCTCACGCCACACTGTAATAAAAGCTTTACACCACATTACCAAACTTTGGCCGCTTAGTGGGTGTCCTGGGGTAAAGCCCCCGGTTCGGATCACGGTTGCCCATCCTCTGGTTAAAGGTGTGAGGCCGGGTGAGGACTGCTCTTTGTCCCAGTCCATCACAGTCTTCTGCATTCAGGTGCCTCCTCTTGGCCTTTCCTAGGAAACCACACAACATCCAGCCGTGGCAGAACAATTCAAATCACAGTACTGGGATTATCCTGCATGCAGGGTAAGCCTTTCCTTAGATTTCAGCCTACAATTGTTTGCTAACTAGTTTACCATTAAAGATTATATTCAGTTTTGTGGGATAAAACAAGGCAACAAGTCTAAAAAAATCTCGTTAAAACTTTATTTTTCGTATACGTGCATTTCAAAAGTAGTACATGAGTACATACAGTGTACTTAGCTTTAAATCCTGAACTTACCTTTAACAGACACCTCCATTTTCTGCTGCTACACCTACAATCTTTCAGTAACAAAGCCCCATAATTTCACGTAAAGAAGTCTTTACACACGAACAGCCTCAGAAAATACACCCGAACCGTCCAAGCTAACGTCTACAAACGATCACTGCTAGCCCGTGTGTGCCTGCTAACATTAGCGGTACTTCTCCCAGAAGTACTGCTAATGCAAAAACTACTTTAAAAACGCGACTGCTCCTAAATGTAAGCGGACTAATTTAACGTTAACAGGGATTCATTGGAGAAAACGTTCATGTATGTTTTTGTTTTCGAGGAAAGCTTCTGAAGTTGCAGGTCTGGTGTAATTGGTCGGTTTGTTCTTCTTTGAATCTCAAACCAACTTGAAAGGCGCATCATCGCCACCTACTGGAAAGCTGAAATTCGCATTTTGCAACATCGAGCGAAGTTCCAGTTTTTCAATGGCTTGATCCAGATGCCACAAAGTTTTTGCAAAAGTGAGCAAGAACGATTAATGTAATCAATTTAAAAACTGATTAAATAAAATATAAAAGATTATCCTCTTATTTAAATGACAAACTGATTTGATTAGTAGACCCTTAACATAACAGACAGAACTGTTTGGCTTACAGGGCTCATTTACACATTCCCTGATCTTATTGGAAATGGCAGCCATGTTTCTTATGAGCATTTACAACTGTAACAGCAAAAAATAATAATAATAATAATAATAATTTAAAAAAAATGCATCATAATAGTTCGATGTTGATTAAAGTGAGCACTCTAAGCATTTGCCTTCAAATCATTTTTTGTTCCACAAATTTCTTCACCAAAGCAGTAAAAAGTAAATTTAAAAAAACCAAACAAACAACCGTGTAGTTTCCATATCTTTGTTTGTTAAAGTGTAAATTTTAAAACAGAAGCACATATTCCAGAACAAGTAGGGGGAATATGTTTATTCATGGGTCAGTAATTTCTAAGTGCTAGGGTAAATACAGTACCAATCTCCAGGTAATTGCACCGCATCAATGGTTGAGGCACAGCAGTCACTGAAATCAATAGAGTTCATTTGCTGTACATTACAGAGAAGTTACGCTCTTAAAATGTTAATATATCTGCCAATTATGTTACCGTTATCACTTTGTGACAGTTTTTGTGACCATTGGCTCCTTTCCATTCTGAAATGACCAAAGGAGACATGAGCTGGAATTATTCAACTTAGTGAAGTCTGTTTTTTCCCCACAAAGCCCAAACAGCCAGCTTTTAAACGGGTAATTAGTTTGAGGTGGATTTTTCTCTCATTAAGTCAAACAGTATGTAAGCACATGTAAAGGAATGTTTTCAAATCAGTAAATACAACCTACAAGAACCTGTGTTAAGTCAAGCTATCTTATAAAAACTTGGAAACTACTATTTGTCAGGCTTAAAGCCCAACCATGATTTATGGTGGAATCTTCACACCAAGAGCAAAAACTGGTCCAGCACATGTAGTGTAAACAGGGCTTCTTCATAGGTTTGCTTTCTCACAGCTTTGAATTCCTCCTCTGACTTCAAGTTTTCAGTTTTGAGTATGATTTTAAACACATAGCTCTATTAGTCCCAAAAGCACAAATATTTTGATTTCACAATTTGAAATAAAATAAAAAAAATCCTAATTTTTAAAAACACACGTCCAAATTTTGCGCTCCTATGCAGAAGCCCCGTGTAACAAAAAAGGGACTATTTCTTCCTGTCAATCCTCATCTTCAGCGGGCTGCCTTCACTGCTTCAGCACAGGCAGCTCTCTTGGCTTAAAGAAGGCCTGAGCCATCCCCATGGCGAAGATGTACACCCTAGCATCCACCATTATTTTTTCCTTCTGCAACAAATCTGTGGGGTAAAATGAGGGAAGCTCATGTTAGGCTTTAATTCTTACAGTCTGAATGCTTGCACAAACTTTAGTGTGTGAAAAGTCGCACCGTCTATTTTGGTCTGGAACTCGTCAAGCGGTAAAAGAATAACTTCGACAAATTCTGGAAGGAGAAGATCAATGAAATGGTCACATGGGCCTTTATGTCTAAGGGCTACTTAAAAAGGGAACTGAAACATGACTCACCTCCATCATCTGTGGGGGGAAAAAAAAAAAAAACAACACAAGAGAACAAGATTAACATAATGATATTGGTTTTTTAAGAAGCATAAAAAAAAGGGAAGACTGAGTTTCTCTTCATGTTTTAGGAGGTTTAACACGTGAACGCTGCATAACAGTGGGACAATCTGATAGGGACAGTTCATGTTTGAGTACAGATGCTTATGACAAAGGTAAAACTCACAGGAGACAGATGCAATTAGTCTTGGTATTGTATCAATAGCACGACAGGATTGATACTTTGTTTCTAAATTGCCAATTGAACTGCAGAGGCTGGAAGGTTTGAATGTCAAAACCAACTGAGACTTTCGAGCCATTACACTAACCCAGACTGCTGCAGTAGGCTTCAGCATTAGATCAGCTGCTCAAGCAGGTGAGCTACAGTGACATGAAGTCACGAAGGTATTGTTAATTTTTAACAGAAAGATCACAAAAACTTCAATTTACAGATTGGAAAAATGATGAACCAACTACTCATTTTGGCCTAACTTTAATTAACACAACCAAAACCTCTAAATGACCATTTCATCCATTTGTGAATGAATTGTTAAGAAAATCTGTTAAGGCAGATACTTTGTGTGTGCTTCAATAAACGACACTACCATAACCTCTTGTTACTCCCAGCAATGTAAAAGCCTGCATGAGAAAAGTGAAGATCCAACTACCAAATGAATTCTAGAAGCTGTCCAAGGAGCTCATTACAGTAACGCATTTAAGCACCAAAACTAATTAAGAGTAAGCTAATATTCTCCTACTCTGACAGAAATCATGTTACAGGAGCAATAGTACAAATAAAAACTCATTTGTCCCACACACCGTCAAACTGGTTAACTCCTCTCTGGAGGGGAGGGGAAAGGGAAGGACAAAGGAGGGTGGGGAAAACCAAACTAGTGTTTGCAAACAATCACTGAAGAAGAACTAATCACTGTGCAATAGACTGACAATAGTTGAAATGTGCAATAGACATTTGGCTGCTACATCTCATAAATGAGTATATTTCATTGCCTATTTATATATTTTGTATTTATATTTGTATATATGCTAATATTATATTCTCTCATTCACCTTTACTTTATATTACATTCTATTTCTTTACTATGCAAATTTCTGTTGCCGTTCTGCTACTGGAAACTGAATTTCCTGGAGGAACCTACCCAAGGGATTAATAAAGTTCTATCCAGGTAAATCATAACATTTTGGTACAGATTAGAAGGCCTATTTCTTTTTTTGTTAACAGCACTACACAGTACTGTGTAGTTTCATCTACAACAACTTGAAGTCTCATGACATCTATGTTTTATCATCTGAGGAAAGAAACAATGTGACTAACACAAGAAAAACGAGCAAACATACTTATTAATTCCTGACAGTCTTGTAGTTCGGAGTTCAGCAACGTTACATCCTCTTCAAGACAGTTTCAGAAACGCTGGCTAACAGCTTCAAAAACAGCAGCGCTTACTGACAGAAAACTTCAACATATCCTCAAATTTTCACCTCACTACAGCTGCCTGACAGAAGTGAGCTTCACCGACTCATGACCTGTATCAGACTCCTTTCACAAAGTTTTACATCCTCCTCCAGAGTAAATAGATGTGGAAGCTCTTCACACAGCATATAAACAGCTAAGGTGAACAGTGGACTGCTGGCCTATACAGACAGCAATAGACACCAGGGTCGATCCAGTCAGGGGTCACTTTGCTATCTGTGGGGAGTCATTTCTGTCCGTGATCATGTCAGATGAAACAGTGACCCATCAAGCATAGCTCAGGGTAAAAAATATATATTTGAAAGTCATCAAGTTTTCCCTCTAGAATAGAGTTTAATTATTTTAGCACCGGCTTCAGATTACTGCACAGGAATTCTGCTTGTAAGTGAATCTAAGAAAAGTGATGAAGGCAACATGGCCAACTGAATTATGTCCTAAACAAGTTAGAGTAAAAATGAATGATGATGGTGAAAAAACTGAGTTGTGAAATGTTTTCTCACCCAGCTTCTGTGTTGGGTTGATATTCTCCACATCGTCACCATTGATGTTGACCAGGATAGTCTGAATGGTGCAGTTAGACAGACCAGGGTCCAGACAGGTTGCTGCAAGCACAGCAATAATGTTAGCCAAAACAAACTTATCAGTCTACTTAACCTTATCGCTCTTATTGGAATTTTCAAAGATAAAATGTGTATGGACACTTCATCCTGCCGATCCCTGAATTTCTGCAGTATGGTGTGTAATAGTACCTGGAGTGACTCCTACTACTTCTCCTGTGTAACCAGTTTCCTCCTTCAGTTCCCTCAGTGCAGCCGCCTCGGCAGTTTCCCCCTCATCGATCAATCCTAAACAACAGAAAAATAACAAAGTGCCAACTTGGAGATGATTAAGCACTTTTCATTACCCTGGAACATACTCCATCATCGAGCACATCATGAGTGAAAAAACTGACCTGCAGGAAACTCCAGAGTGCAGCATCCCAGAGGAGGGCGGAACTGCTTCACCATCACTACGCAGTCCTTATGCAGCGTCCGTTTCAGCAGAGCGATTATTCCCACACCTGGAGGAAATATGTGTTAGCCTTCAATAACTCTGGCAAAAGCTGAACAACCAGAAAATGAAAGAAGATACGCTCACCATCTGCTTCAGTGTTGGCTCGCCTCGTTGTCCGTTTCACAGTCTCCCAGGTTCTGGAGGTTTAAAACAGGTAATCAAAGTAGTTTAAGGGTGGACCTGTTGTGCTGTTCTACCATCCTTCCTTCCTCTTCCAGTTAAGCTAACTTTCTTCTGCCCATCAAAATCAACATTTTTGAACAGTTGGTGGGTGGGGCTCCTGAGAGGAAACATCCACATAACCATCTACTACTGACATTGTATAGAGACAAGAGCAGAAAAAAAACCTGTCTGAAACTGAGTGTTTCAGACAGGTTTGTACTTCGCTAAGAGTAAAAATGAATGATGATGGTGAAAAAAAACTGAATTATGTGTCTACGTCGCTGGGTAGCAGTCTAAGCAGAGATGCTCAGACTTCCTTCTTCCTAGCCACCTCTTCCAAGTCTTCCATTGGAAAGAGTTTTTCCCCAATCCATCTGAGAGACATAACCTCCGCAGCAAATCCTAGGTCTACCCTGGGGTCTCCTCCAAGTAAGACATACCTTGCCTAGAAGGGACCCAGGCACCATCTTAGATGCTCAAACCACTTCAGACGACTCCTTTGTGGAGAGGCAGCGGTTCTACCCCGAGCCCCTTCTCGCCCTCAGCTCAGCCACCACTCGGAGGATGCTTATTTCCAGAGTGTGGATTCGCGATCTCATTCTTTCCATTGCTACCCATAGATCATGACCATTGGTGGGGGTAGGGATGTAGCACTAACAGTAAAACAGTACCGTTGCTTTCACATTTGGCTCTCTCTTCACCTCAACAGACCAGCAATGTGTTCTGTGTTATTCTTTCAAGCTACTCCATTTTAGTTAAGCTATTATATTACACATTAAATCTATTGTTTTGTCTGGATAAACACCAAAATTTCCCAAATTTCTAAATTAAATAAGGATCTTTTTGCCACTGCACATACACTTTAAACTCAGGCTATGTTTTATATTATTATCCACTATTTATCAGTGTTAATTAATCTCACTGAGAATATGGAAACCCACAGACAGAACAATACCTGGTGTTTCCAGCGGGGTCCACATATGTAGTCTTTTCCAGCTTCACCCATTTCCCTGCCGCAATAAGCTAGAAAACAAACACATACACACAGCTCATCACATGCCTACTGTTCAGTAAACTAACATGGAAGCTCCACATTGAAACTTTATTACTTTAAACTGTATAACACAATTTTTATATTACACAAGTGAAGCCAATTTATAGCCAATGCACTATTATAGCAATTTTATACTGCTAGCGTCGACATTTTTTTTTTCTGAACGCCCTCATTCACAAACATTTAAACACACACACCTCTTCTTTCACAATGTGAGGAGCTGCAGTGTCTTTGGGTTCTTCATGGTTGCTCATTGTTACTGTCCGACTGAAAATGAAAGAAAGACGAGTCAGAAAGCCTGACCTGGGCAGGAAAATATAGAAGTTGTATCGACCCGTGCTTAAACGCTGAAGAGACGTTTCAGATCATGAGCTACTCAATTAGCTGCCAGAGCCAGGCAACTGCAAGACCGTTCAATTTCCCCCTACCTTTCCGCATTTAGCTTTCCTTCCCTGTGTGTCTTTGTTTATTTAACGGCGGGTATCTGCTTTACCCTTCACAGTGCTACAAACTGCCAGAGCTCGAGTATTTCAAACTTTTAACAATCCGGTAAATTTGTAAAAAACACTCAAATTAACTCACGTGAACTCCCTTTCGTGTGTGACTAGTTGTAGAGAGTAGAGAAACGATGATGAGTCACTCTGCTGCCACTTCCTGATACAACAAACGTCACAATAATGGGAAGAACCGAGAAACTTAAATCTATTTCAATAAACAGTTTCAATGTTAACATTTTTAATGAAATATTTACAATACAAATCCAGCAATTACTTCATTCTAGTTTTAATTATCGGCTTTGTTTGCAGTAAAAAAAAAAAGACATTTCACGGAAAATACACCTATATATGAATCCGGTTAATTCTTTAAAATAAATAACATTTTTTATTTTTTTACGTTTACAATTGTAGTTTAAGGCATCCACAGTGAGGTCTTCTTTTTAATAAACGATCTCCGTCAGCTCACTGCACGCCTACATGTGCACCATGAAAATGATTCCCTGAGCGAAAACTTATGGCACGATTTTTAATTGTACCAACAGCTAACTAATGTATTTATTTTCACCGTTTTCTGGGTAAAATTAAAATCATTAAAATCGATTCATAACTGTGAAGATTTTGTGTAATTTCAAGCCAGAATTTTAATGTGTTTCTAAAAGAGATTCGGAAGTTATTTACTGATGGACTCGTTTCCTTTACAGGATATTGCAGCATGAAGAAGGAGCAAGTTGTCAACTGTCAGTTTTCGGTTTGGTATCCGATATTTAAGAAACATACGATTAAAAGGTAAACTGCTAACGTTTGTAGAGCAAGTCCACTGAACGTTTTTATAATTGTTGCTGTAAAATAAAGGGCAGCTAGCCGGCTGCTAACGTTAGCCGACAGACAAAAAGCAGACAGCTGCCCTTTCTGTCTTCGTGAGTGTAAATAGTAAACAGTGCACCCTTCTTCTACTTCTGTGCTTTTATTTCATATAGTTTGTTGTTTTCTGTGTATTATATACGTGATGTGGTTCGTCTTGTTTTCCAGTCTGATTCTTCCACTGCCTCAGAATGTAATAGACTATTTACTGGACGATGGGACACTGGTAGTCTCTGGAAGGTATCAGACTACACACACACACACACACACACACACACACGGTTATGTTTCCTATGTGAAATTTCACAAACGTGTTCTGTCGTGGAAATCATGATTTAAACGTAATTGGGCGTTCTGACAGTTGCTCACAGATTACATGCTGTCTCTTCTGATTTTACACTTTTCCTCATTCTCTCTTCCCTCAAGTGATCACAACACACAGCAGACACAAACTAACAACAGCGACTCAGATGCAGAGGAAGACATTCAGGTAAGCTGGAGCCTTTTTTTTCAAGATTGGAAGAACGTCACAGAGATCATAAATGGATCGCACGGTCACTATCGCACTGAATATGACCTAAATAAGTGTGAAACAAATTTAAAACCTTAAATGGGACATATTAAGCTTTTACGTCTTTGGTGTCACATATGTGCTGTTACAGTGGTGGATGCTCATGTGAAGCATGGCCGATCATGTTTCTAACTCTCTCCTCCCTTCTAGTGGTCAGACGATGAAACAACTACAACAGTCACTGTAAGTGTCCTTAATGGGTCCAAGTGCGCCTCATTTATTTGTTATTATATATTTACAGTTAAACCAAAGACAGTCAATTCGGATGATTACGTAAAACCATTTTGCTAAAAAATAGCCGAGTATCAGTTTGTAGTTTACATTACTTCCATGTATATGTTTCTTCATATGTGTGCTGTTATGTTAATGTAGATATAAGCATTTAAGCTAAAGAGGTGAACTCATTCTTCTTTAAATCAGGTTGCATCTATGTAATAAATGTGCATGACCTCACCTTTAAGCTTGTACTATCATTTTGCTTGGTGGGAATAACAGCCTGAAATGTCATGTTTCTGCCAGGCTCCTGAGTTTCCAGAGTTCACCTCTAAAGTGCTGGAGGCCATAAACAGCCTGGGTGGGCGTGTATTCCCTAAACTCAATTGGAGCGCACCACGGGTAAAAACACTGCTTTCCTCTGCTTCAGATTGAAGAGTGTTAGCATGACCAACATCTGTTTGTCACTAAATGCCTCATGAATTATTCATTAAGGATGAGGGCATATAGTCCTGCCAGGTTTTTCTGATGTTAGTGTGACGAAACCATAATAAGTCATGTTTCCCACCTTTGATGTGACCTATAACCTTTACAGTTCAAGTGCAAACCAAATAAATCCAAGTGCAACAAGCTAGTTGCATAAGTGGGCACACCCTTAAGCTAATACTAGTGAAGCACTTTTTGATATAATCAAAACATTCAGTCTATCAGCATGGCAAAACTTGACTTTGCAACATTTTTCCACCAGTCCTTGCAAAACCTCTCCAGATCTGTCAGATTGTAAGGCCGTCTCCTTTGCACAATCCTCTTAACATCTCCCCTCAGGTTTTCTGTTTTGATTAGATTTTTCTGTTTGATCTGAAATCCAGCTTTCGAATTTACATTTTATTTGAATTTACGTTTAGGCTCTCTGTCATGTCATACTGAAGGTTTTAGGCTAAAAGTGACTGGTATTTGGGAGTGTTCACAATTCTCTTCACCTTGACTAATGCAAAGCAACCTCAAATCATGATTATGCCACCACCATGCTTTACCTTGGTTTTTGCACCAAACATGCCTTTGGAATTGTGTGTGTAGTCTTATCATACTGTAACACATTTTCCCACATGCTTTTGGGAGACATAATGTATTTTTTGCAAACTGTAACCTGGCTTGGATGTTTTTCTTTCTAAGAAAAGGCTTTTTTATTGCCATCCTACCTCATAGTCGAGACACATGGAGAATCTGGGAGATTGTAACATGTCGGACTCTTGGCAGCCTCATTTTCAAATGATTTATTGTGGTCTCATTTTTTAACAGCACAGCATGTTGTCATTTTAACAGCTGAATGCATACGTTTTATATCCAGTGTAACTTAACGTGTGTGTTTGTTTCCCCTCCCTACAGGATGCGAACTGGATTGCTCTGAACAGCTCCCTGCAGTGTCGCAGCCTCAGTGATATATTTCTGCTCTTCAAAAGTTCCGACTTCATCACGCATGACCTCACGCAGCCGTAAGTCCCGTTGCATGACCTCACGCAGCCGTAAGTCCCGTTGCCTAACAACAACATCACAATCGTAAACAACTGGGCTCGTTTAAAGAAAGAAAAAGGAAAAACACCTGGTGTGGTGTGCGCAGGCCCATTTGAACTGGCAGTGTTTGCTGGGCTGTAGATTTACCTCTCGCTGCTTCACACTCCATGACAAACATTCAGTGCGGGGAAAGTGAAAAGTAAATTTTTAAGCTTTTTATTTTTACTTTTTTGTCATTTCCATGTTCAGATTCCTTCAATGCAGCGACCAGGACTCCCCAGACCCAGTCATCAACTATGAGGTTATATACTTTCTTTTTCCCACCATAAAGAAGAATAGTCTCCAAATGTGTTTTTGTGTCATTACCCTGAGGCTTAATTTACTCTTGCTTTACACATGTTCACAAAATATAATACAACATAAATCTGGAACAACAAAAAAGTAGATCAGGTCAGACTCTCTGGCAGCAACAACCATTCAAAGTCTTTTTAATCACCTTACTTAGTTTGAATATCAACAGGCCACCTTGTCTATGTCTACATGCCTAAATGTATTTCTGTCATGTGATTGGCTGATTAGATCATTCTTTTAATGAGCAGCTGAACAGATGCAAATATTGAAGGTGCTGTTGAGTGTTTAGCTTCTTGTTTAAAAGGACTGATAGAACAAAAAACCCCTCTGGCTTCTGCTGGTTGCCAACCCCGCGTCGTTATGGAAATAACTGAAATTACTCGAGCACTTAAATCAGCTCACAGTGGCTCTCATCGCTGTTAAAAGATTGCCAAAGTATGGCCCGAGGGCCAGTGGCAGCTGTTAGTAGCATATGGTGAGGATGATGGGTGAAACAGTGTAATACTGCTGTCCCACTGTAATACAGAGCTCAGAGCAAGACCAAGAGAGCGTTTCTGTTCAGTTGTAGCTCTTCTATTTGAGCCGTCACAGCAGAATAAATCCCTCTGACAATAACAAATATAGCTGGAGTCAAGAAATGCCACCTCTCTTTATGATTAAGAAGAATAAAACCTAGAAAAAACTAAAAGTAAAACCCTTTTCTGAGCTGTCACTTTATGAACACAAACTACAAATGTGTCTTTTTAGTCACTCGCTGGCTCCCAAAGTTGGCATTTTCAGAACCCAACAGAAAAATGCAAAGATTAAAATTGAAGACTTATTCAAAAAACTGGAGACAAACGGTTTCACAAAAAACTTCACCATTTACACTCCTCAACATTTTCAGAAAAAGAAATCATGTTTGATTAGTCTCTTTGCATTGTGACAGCACCTGTTATTATAACCCCGAGCTTATTTTGGTTTTGCAGATTATGAGGGAGCGCTGGCTCTGACTAAAAAGCCTGAGGACTTTCCAGACTCATACAGCAGCCACTTCTAAAACATACCCTGATCTCTATGATCTGTTTGACTCCAAATACAACAGTAATTTCTTAAAAACAAACATTGTATTCAGTAACTAGCTGAGACTGAAAACTCACCAGAAAAGCGATGACTGGGTCATAAGTCAAGAGAGGTCATTTTCTTACAGGCTTGTTTTTCATGACCTGGTGAGTCATCCTGTGTTGGCCATTAGGCTGTTTGCATATGAAATAAGATTAGTTAATAATTGTCAGCCAACCGCTACCTCAAAAAACAGACACCCACAAACATGAGAGCAACAAGTGGCGACCTTTTCTGACTTCCCCTAATAAGTTTTGACACCTCAGTTTATATCAATAAAGATGGAGTTTGTCAACTATTAGATTGGGTATTAGGTTTTTCCCGAGGGTAGTCCAGATAAGCTATACAGGCAAAGATCACCAGTCACATCCAGTCATTTAGTTCTGGAAGGAGACCTGAAATACAACAGAAACATGTCAGTTCAAAAGAGAGAAACAAGGTTTATCCTTAATACGTGACTAAGGAGGGAAAGAGTTGAAGTAAACAACAGATAAAGAGTCAATTTAAGAAAAAAAAGAAAAAAGAATTGCCTTAAATCCTTTCTGTTCTGCATGAGCTGTTTTATTTATCAGTTTAACTGACAGAGGAGAAAAATGAGTGTTTATAGCTGGTGTGCTTACACAAAGGGAGCCTGTACTTCCTACCAGCATTTATTAGCACAAACTTGGAGTTCAGTCATGTGAAGGATTGGTTAAAATCCTGCCAGCCAGCGAAAATACAAAAATGTCGGGGAAGTCGATCCCATGATTTTTCCTGCCATTCAACTAAAACTTAAAAACTTGACTACTACAGGTGTTAGAGGTGGACTCTATAGAAGCACGCTGGGGAAAAAGAAAAAAAAAGACATTGCAGCAGAACCGAAATCCTGGAGTCTCCAAGGAAACGGAGATGCTGACTGATTGGTTTACAATCACAGCCACATTTATGAGCCAAGTAAACGCACTTTCAGTGTGTTTGTACAAAGTAACCTGTGTAATGTCATTGCTGTGTACAGTAATATTCACATCCCTTTGTTGTTTATATGCATTGCTCAGTGGAATTGCATGAACATAACAGGACTGGGTAAAAAATACTGTAGTGCAACTAAATAAGATCAAATAAAACAGAGAGGTTTGATCTGCAAAGGATCCTGCACCTACCATCGTTTCTTCAGTTTTTTCACAAGCCTGTCCAGTCCTGGTTTAAAATGTCAGACTTGCATGTGAGTAAGCTAAGCATAATGGTGTCATCTGAAAACTTCATTACATATTGATTCAGTTGGGAGTAATTTGCATGCAGAGCACTAACACATTCTTTGGCTTTCCTTGTATTATCAACAAATCTGCTGCCGTATTTAAGTATTTCTATTGGCTTACTAGCGCCAGTGTCTCCTCTTTAATGGTTGTCTCACACTCTAACACTTGTCTTCTTTCTTCAGCTGGTACTGAGGAAGTGGAGTGAGCTGATTCCTGGCGGAGAGTTTCGCTGCTTTGTCAAAGAAAACAAACTGATCGGTAAAAACTGTCCCTCCTCTTCTTTTACACGAGTGTTGTCCATAAATATCTGCACTGCGTTTGATCACGTTAGCCACCGAGTGGCTACAAATGGACATAAAGAGAGTACGCTTCATGCGTGAGACGGGAATTATTTTTAAAAATTCTCTGTACAGTTATTCAGGAGGCTAATTTAGAACCAATTATAAAATGTAATCTAAAGTGTGCTGACGATGTGTCTGTGCGATCTCCCAGCTATCTCCCCGAGAGACTACACGCAGTATTACCAGCACATCCTGAAGCAGGAGGAGCAGATAAGCCAGGCCATTCAGGACTTCTTCAGCCAGCACATCCAGTACAACTTCCTGGATGAAGACTGTGAGCATCAGCCTGCTTTTATTTTTCCCTGTACATGTAAATTTTGTAAATCAGACAGAAACAGACTTTTTGTGGAGTAATGAAAGTCATTAAATATGTACTGTTAAAAATGGGGTCATTTAGGCAGGACGGAAATGAAAGCGAAGACTGATGACATTTCACTTAATTGTGATTTTAATGTTTAATGTGAGGTGGTAATAAAAGTTTGCTTTTTGAAGTTGTGCGAGACAGTAGTGTGAATGTTAAATGATTACTCATTCAGATGTTTTTTTCTGCTTTACAGTTGTGTTTGATGTTTACAGAGACAGCCAGGTAACTCGATACTGAATGTTTTTCTTGATAAATCAAAAAAAAACCAACACACACTTTGTGAGCTGCATTTACTGTATGTGTCTTCGTGTGTGTCGCAGGGGAGGGTGTGGCTCATCGACCTGAACCCATTCGGAGAGGTGACTGACTCGCTGCTGTTCACCTGGGGCGAGCTGACGTCTGGAGAGGTCGCAGAGCAGCAGGTCAGTCATTGTATACTGTATGTCCCGTATTGCAACACACTCTGGAGTCTTAATGAATGCTCAGTGTGTCTGTGGACCTGTGCAGGAAGGCCCGGCGTTCCGCTACACCACCAGCGAGGTGACGGTGCAACCCAGCCCCTGTCTGAGCTACAGAATTCCACGGGACTTTGTCGACCTCTCCACAGGAGAGGATGCATACAAACTTATCGACTTCCTCAAGCTGGTAGGTCCTGGAAAGTTGCGTTCATGCATGACGACGTGTTCGTCATGCATGAACGCAAACGTTGTTTGCCATTCAGGCGTTGAAACAAAAGACATAGTGAGTGCATTTTCAGCTGCGGCTGCAGCAGAAAAGACTCAACTTCTTGCACCAGCATGTAGCCCAGGTTCTCTAAAGTTTGACCACTGACTGACCACCATTGTACTAGCAGCTGGGACCTTTAGAGAGCACCCCATCAGTAACCACTGGACATGCTGAGCTCATCTGGTGCTGACTCCGTTACTGCGATCTTAATCATATGACGTGGAGAGTTTTTGATTAGCATTACCATAAAAAACGTACAAGAAAAGTACTAATTTCTAATGTTATACTACACTAGTGTAAAATGACAGGTGACTGCAGTGAAGGGTTAAACTCTCCTCTCCTTCTTCTCCTGTTCACAGAAGAAAAGCCAACAGGAAGAGTCTGAGGAGGAGGAGGAAGAGCAGGAGAACGCGCCACAGTGACATCAGCGTCATCGGCTCTCCATATAAAATCTGCATGAAGTGACTCTTCACCCTCTCTTCTGTTTCAGCACCAGTTCCTTCTACTTTTTTTTTTTTTTTTTAAATCTCAGAATGGTACGCGGTGTACCCGGGATTTCCTAAATAGCTCCTTCACATTACTCGAATGGAGCATGTTAAATTAGCAGATCGCGTTACCCGTTCCTTAGGGACTCATTTCCTTCGACACTGCCTAGCGCCTTATTGCCGATCTTAATAGAGGCCTCTGCCGTGTCCAGGGGTTGGTTATTTCACTTTTTGACTGTGTTACTGTAAAATGATGTATTCATTAACAATGTAAAGAATGTTTGCTTTTATACTTTGAGCCTGTGGAGTAGTCTGTGTATCTGTATCACATCTCAAAACAGTCTCTCTGGGTTTGAAATCAATTTGATACACACACACACACACACACACACACACACAGTGTCAGTTTGTTTCTTTACCTATGGGGCTGACAGACTTCTCTATTTAACACTAAAGCCCTTCATCACTGAGTCACCTTTAATTTTCTTGCCAGAAATCCCAGCTCCTCCATCTTTCCCTGCCAATTTCCTCTGAGCAGTTTTGACACAGTCATTGCTCCCAGCGCTCATTTGGAGTCCTGTTATTTCTTTTTTCTCTCTCCCCTCATCACGCATCAATGTAGACTGTTGCTCCAAAGAACACCATTAAACTTCTTTGTCGTGTATTGACTCGGCTGTCAGTCTGGTGGGTGCTGTAAACCAGCACATTAGAAATTGATTGCACTGTTACGCAACAGCTCTCATTACCCCGAGAGCTAAATGAGCTGCACACGCACGACACAGGGCAGTACTTTTGTTTCTTTTCCTTTTTTCCCCCCCTTTTCCTCTTCACTGGATTGATGGAGCAATTATGGGGAGATGAAAGAGTGGGTGTCAGAGGTACAGCTCGCCAGGTAAACCGCTGTGGACGAGCAGCAACAGTGTGCATGACACAAATATTGTAAATACGCCTCACCACTTGTCATCATTATGAAACTGAAACGTGTATGTAAACATCCAGTTTGACCTGCAAATAAGGACGAGCTTGTCTGCTGAAATGTGACAAAGGGTATTTGCTGCTGGGGGGAGGGGGCAAATCACAAAATCTGATCGTGATCATAAAGACAAAATAAAGGGTAAATACAAAGCTTAGCTAATGATGAACTCCAGTCTGTGATTAAAAATATAGATGTACACACACACACACAGTCGCACTGAGTCCAGTTCATTAAGTGCATCAAGCTAAAAAAAAATACAGATACGATAGGCCTGCAGTTACACTCTCTGCTCACATTATTAGGTACACTTGTTCAGCTGTTTAAAGTATATGTCTATGAGCCAATCATATGGCAGTAATAAGGGCTGATAAGAAGGCAACAATAGCTCAATTAACCACTTGTACTGTATGCAAGGTATGCAGAAGAGTGTCTCTGAGTATACAACACACTGAACCTTGAAGCAGCAGAAGACCACACCAGGTGTCACTCTTGTCAGCTAAGAACAGGAAGCTGAGGCTACAGTTCATACAGGCTAAGTAATACTCGTCAGCAGAAGATTGGAAAATGTTGCCTGGTCTGATGAATCTCTATTTCTGCTGGGTGTGATCGCCTCGGTTGCTACCTTTATTCTGCCGTCAATTTTGATCCTCAGCATCTCTCCTTGCAAGTGGTTGGGCATCATGTGCTTCAGTTAGACTGATGTCCTTTACCAGGGCTGCCTCATCATATCCATGCTGCTCATGCTAAATGCTGTGCAGTAACCTCTGGAGCTCCAGCTTCAGTCATATCTGTGTTCTATTTGTGTTATAGCACTGAGCTGCCACGTGCTTCTCAGTCATTGTGGATGTTTGTTTTCTGCTATTCTACAGTTCCCATGTGTTGCATATATATCCGCTGTCATTGAGTCAGCTGCCAGTTCATTGAGTCCATGTATGCCTTGTTTCAGACATCTTTTCAGTTTGTCGTTGTTCCTCAACAGCTGACTTCCAGGCTAGTATAGTGTTTTGTGGATACTCTTACAGAATGCATTCCCTGACCAGGATTGAAACCCTGACCTATTGTTCCAAAGACAGTAATGTTTAGTACCGCAAAATCCAGCTTCTTTGGTTGGCACCTAAGCAAATGTGTCAACCCCAGCTCCTTAATATGGTAGATCGTGACTGCATTTCAGTATAACATCAGCTGCTAAAGAAATCCTTTCATCCATCCACACATTACATCAAGTCAGATGTCAGGTAGGATGGAAGCTGTACTGAGGGTGGGGGCTGGGAGTGGATTGTTTAATACAAGCCATTTCAGAGTGTGAAATCGTTGGAGGGTTTGACATTAGAGGAAATATGTATATCAGCATCTCAGCCAGGCAAATGATTTCTGTACGTGTGCACATGTCTGCATTTAAAATGTCAGTGTTCAAGCTGCAGGCAGTAAGTGGGCCCCATTCGTCTTCCTTGACCTTCATCTTCTTTTTTAACCATGGCTCTAACACCCACCTCGGATCCTCCCTCCCTTTGCAGCCGGGTAATCATCTTTCACCGGGGGAGGTCAGATTTGCTGACTCAAAGAAAAAGACTAGGATGAGGGGGGAGAAGCGTGGGGGAGAGGAGTTTTCCTCGGATGCTGCTGAGGAAGAGCTGCAGTAGTTTGCAGCCGGAATACTCATGAGCAGCTGAAGCTGCAACACATTGTCCTCCACCCCCCTCTCTCTCTATCTCTCTCTGTCTCCTTATAGTGCAAACATAACCTAGTGTGTGTGCGCGCGTGTATGTGCGCGTGTGTTGTGGGCAGTAACGCGGCCTGAGCTGACCTCAGCCCCTGCAGCTGTCAGAGCCCGGGGATCACCGCTCTTTCCGTCTGCAATCCAGGTGTTATGAGGACCACTGTAACTTAGGTGAGCACGCTGCTGCAGCTGGGCTCCCCGCTGATCCCTGGGCGCCCCGCTGAGCCACATGGACGCCTTTAGGGATCCCACATGGCGATGAATACGTGATAGCTGTTGTCATAATGCTGGCGCATTGCGAATTTGCTGCTCAAAAGAAGTAGCAGGATGCAAGGAACAGCATTCCACCGGCTCCCTTTAATGTCATAACACTCACTGCCAGAGTATGACTTGGACGCAGTTGTTAAATAAACAATCACAATCATAGAAGCAAAGAGGTGGATTTGAACACACTAGATATTTTGTGCAACAGTGGGAACCCCCCTCCTGGTCCCCCGACATGTTGATTGGGGGGGGGGGGGCGGGGGTGTTCACCAATTAAAGGCGTTTATTAAAGACGTTTATCGAATTGCAGGTGGAGGCAGATTAGCCGCCAAGTTAGAGATGCTTGACAAACGCGATGCCGGAAGTTGTGAGGTTCTGTCTTCAAAATAAAACAATTTTTTTGGGGAAAAAAATTGAGTGGCGTGAAATAAATCACTCCAGATAGCGTATATGTGAAACTGTTTGATAAAACATCTATCAAGAGTGAGACGTGATTAACCAGTTTGGTGAAAGTGAAGTATGAGTTTCCATTTTATTTGACTGTAAACCCAGAAAATAGGTTATTTCAATTATTGGTTAATTTCTTATCCAGTGAATGGAAAAAACAAAAACAAAACGTCATTGGATAAGAAAATAAAAAATCTGGAAGAGTGTTTTTTTTAGACTAATTTATTTATTTACTACTTCCCGCCCCCATTGGTGAAAGTCCAGAAAATTTGTCTACTCAATTTATTTTATTGTGTTTTACAGGGGGTTTTTTTCACCTTTTTTTTCTTTGTACATACCATAAGCTAATGAAGTCTGATAGTGTTAGCAAATGATTTCCCCCGTTCTTAGATCCTATGCTTTGAGTTTACTGTTAGCCTAGGGATTCTGGGGCTGATTGAAGACTGTATAATAGCTGTGGCGGTTGCAAGAAAAAATATTATTAATAATATTATTCCAGCTCAATTTTGGCTTGTCAAGTAACATGCTCTTATTTTGAAAGACCGTAGCGGAGGCTCTTTTGTCTTTCGTCCACGTTTACGCAGCCACTATCCAGACGGGAGGAGGAGGCAGGAGGGGAGCGGGTAAAGGGAGAGAGAGTGAGAGAGAGAAAGAGGAGGAGGAAGCGGGGACACGGTAACCTGCAGGAGGACTCACATGGTCCTGCAGCAGCGGATCCCAGACCATCAGGACTCTCAAACCCCTAACACTCTAGCCCACGTCTTCTTCCCCAACACCACCCCTCCTCCTGTAGTCTTATTTTATTTTCGCATCCTTGCTCCCGCAGCCCAGTGTTGGGGTCGGACTTGGGCCGGCAAAGCAGCGCCATGGCTCGGGAGAACGGAGACACCACCGGCAGAGGGGAAACGTGGAAAAAACAAGTCGACGACATTAAGAAGATTTTTGATTTTAAAGAAGTCCTCGGCACGTGAGTACACACGGTTTTTGTCTGAGTTCACCTCGTTGGTCTGAGTGATAGTCCAGTAATATCCATCCGGGCTTGTGTCTGTCTACAAACGGGCTGCTGGGAGAGTTTACGGTGACCTTACTGCGCTCGGGGGCAGCGTTCAAATGGACTTGAAATGTGCATGAGTGCTGACTCTTGGACCGCTTTCTACATTCTTCTTCTGTGTTGCTATTACTGTAGTCTTCTTGCGGATGCTTGTCGGAGCTCTGTGGTTGCTCAGCGGGGGGCTTTAATCACGTCAGTGGATTTCGTGCTGTGGCATCGCTGTGTAATAAAGCACCGAGTACTATTAATAATGACTTTATAGCAGCTGAATATTCCGCTTACACAAGATGTTCAGCTGTTTCAGTTTGTTAGGGATTACTTTTAGCTAGCGTGATAACTGTTTACACCAAATATTGAGAACTTTTAGCTAGCTTCACAATTCACAAATGTTATCTTTTCAGTCGTTTATATACCCACTTCGGCCTCTCGTCGTTAGTTCTGCCTGTCGACATATATTTTTAATCAGTGACATTACACACATAAATGATTGTAGTGGTTTTAAATCAGGGCTTTGTGGTATCAGCACATCAAGTGTAGTATTTTCGTAATGTTTTGAAAGAGGCTTGCAGGGCTTTTGAGAGCTTTTTGAGTAGCTGTAATCAATGTTGTTGCGCTCATCTTTTCATCACATTGTCAGATTCCCATGGAAATGACTGTACACGTATTTCATTTATTCCATAACAAATCATGCAGAGACTTGAGGATTGTGTTAGAGCTGACAAAACCATTTGTAAAAAGGGTGTTTTTTATGCTATGGGTGGCTTTTTACTGGTATGGCATGGGTGCACTTGTCATTTTAGAGGTAGCGATGCATTTAAATATTATTAATATTGGCTGATGTTGGCCCTGTCTGTTGATTTATCTGCTAAATACCTATACAGTCATCAGCCACTTTCTTAAGTACACATCTCTAATAATGAACGGGTAGAACCCCTGCTTCGCCTTCAGAACTACCTTAATTCTTAGTGGCAGAGATTCAACAAGGGGTTGGAAACATTCCTTACAGATTTTTGTCCATATTGACTTGACAGCATCAGACAGTAGCTCCAGTTTTGTTGGCTTGCGCATTCATGATGTGAATTTCCTTGTTCAACCACATCCCAGTGGTGCTCTGTTGGGTTGAGGTCTGGTAACTGTTCTGATATCTGATATACCTGTATTAGTACTGTTCCTGCTGTTCATCATAATTAGCGTTGGTCCAGGTTCAACACTGCGGTCATGTTTTTTTCCTGCGTAGACATCAGTAGACAACCTTTAGCAACATCCAGGAACAGGATCCAGGATCCAGGAACAACACCAATATGGGGATGTCAGATACACCCGATGAGTCATGTTCAAGAAACCAGTTTGAGAGGATTTGTGCTTTATGACATGGCACATTACCCACTAGTAGATTGGTTCAATGTGATCATAAAGGGGTGGACATGGTCAACGGCAATAAACAATGCTCACTTCCTACTGAGGTTCCCAAGAAAATATCCCCTACACCATTACACCACCGCCAGCAGGCTGAACTGTTGATAGACTCATCAGAGCAGGCCATGTTTTCCATACTCGTGTCAACCAGTCTTGGTGAGCCTGTGTGAACTGTAGCCTGACTTTCCCGTTCCTAGTTGTCAGGACAGGTACTTGGCAGGGTCTTTGTGTTGTGCATTGAGAGATGCTTATTTGAGTTACCGTTGTCTTCCTATCAGCTCAAAGCAGCCTGGACATTGTCCTCTAACCTCAGGCATCAACCAGGGATTTCCATCCTGAGAACGCCCGCTCACCACATCTTTTTTCTCTTTTTCAGTCCATTCTCTGTAAACCTTAGAGTGCGTTGTGTGGGAAAATCCCAGAAAATCAGCAGTTTCTGGAATACTCAAGACTAGCTCGTCTGGTTTGGCAGTAAGTGGTGGCTACTCGCCTTACTAAGGCACTTTGTGTTGGTTTTTCCTTGAATTTTGTGCATACAGATGTCTCTGATTTCCCTGCAAAGTAAGTACAGTAGTTATTGCTGTTGAATGGATTTACATTCGTTTAGTGTCTCCTTCTGTATTCTTGTTTGTTTTCCTGGTGGCTTTTCTGTTGTATGGGATGTTTACATAGGGGCTTCTACAGTGACTTAGGATTGCTGCGTTGTTAGGTGACCTTAAGCTGTAGCCGTGAAGGGGATTTTCTTGTGGATGACAGCGAGGCTTTAACAGACTGCAGGAATTTCATTCCCCTGGCAGCTGCAGCAACAGCAGTATCACCAATGCACTCGCAAGCTTTTTTCTACTTCAAATTAGACTCCTTCACACTTCCTCTCCTTGCTCCCTCTCCTCCTCATTTAAACAGCAACAGAAACACAGGTCCACGCCTCCCAAATCTCTTGACAGCCAGTCCCTGCAAGCATCTGTCTGGCCTCTCTGGTTTCCTGCTGCGAGCAGTGAGCTGCGCCTGTTTGGACGGCAGCCTGCAGGGAGACAAACAGGGCGGACACAGATTGGGATTAACAGCAGACAGATTAGAAGAACTTCCCCTGAATAGGAAGGAAGTTCCGTCACATTGTGTAATGATGCTAGACCGCTAGCTTGTCTGGTCTGCTTCTGCGCCACAACAGCCACACATTTTGGACCCGACATTAAACACAGAGACAGGCACACACAGAAACGCACAAGCTCAGGATGCAGGCTGGTACAGGATTCAGTGATCCGAGTCGGCCATGTTGCAGCCACACATTAACCAGGGCTGCTGCTGACGGGTCTTTGAACCTGATGCATCAGCAGAAAGGGGAATACGAATGTGTCTGTGTGTGTGGGATGAGGGAGTAATTTGTTAGGAGAGAAGGAAGAAGAAGAGGAAGATGAGAGGTGACTGGATGTGAAACAGATCCGTTTTGAGTGATGAAGCTGGAAGATCAGGGAAGAAAGCAGCAGACTGGAACAGCTCACAAAAAAATTCCTGTATTCCTGAGTGTGTTTGCTCATTGAGTTTCCAGGGTAACTTTTTTCTTCGGTACCAGCACTGTGTTCGGGTGTAGCAGCACGTTTATTTATTTAGTTATTTTTTGAGGAGGGCAGTTGAAAAAGGACTAGTCAGACTGTTGCTGCAGTGTTGAATGTGCTCTGCGTCAGCGTTTTGGAGCTGCATCTGCACCGACAGGATTTGATGTCACAGACCTGACACTGTCTCCTCATGCTGGATCATCCTTGATTCTTTTTGGGATAGTGTGTTTGTGTGCACTTAAACACCTCTTCTGTTCTGGGTCTTAATACCAATGTGTGACATATATTTGTGTCCCCTAACACTGGATAAACCTCAGAAGGATTAGCTTACGCTGGCAGCTGTGTGTGCGTTCGTGTTTATGTGTGTGTTTGGAGTCATGTACATAAAGCTCTCCTTGGTGTCTTATTACCCTCTCCTGGTGTGCATGCTCTGTGCATCCCTGTCGCTCTCTGCTCAATAATTCAGCACTAACAGCAGTGTGTTCTTTGTGTGTACACGTGTGTGAGAGCCTCAGGTAGGCTGCAGCTCTCAGCAGGAGGGATGATGATGAAGACGAACGGGACAACTTTAAGCATCCGGGCTCTGTGGTCATATCCAGAGTTCCAAATATAATCTTCCCCACCCTGCGCCCTGAACCGTTTTTCCATTTCATAAATAAATGCGATAATGACACAATTGAGAGCGACAAATGCGAACTGAGGAGGAAACGCTAAGGCTTGCAAACCAACAAACAGGAAAACTAGCTGTGATTTTATTGCTATATCGATTTAGTGCTTTGATATCTTTAATATAAATGTTAGTGTAGGGATGGCTTGTGAGCCAGAAGGTTGGTGATATGCATAAACTGTAGGGTCCAGATCTGAAAAGTAAGGCTACATGCAGGTTAAAGTGCCTTAAACCAGTCTTCTTTTTTATGGTTTGCAGGGTACTACTCCAATGGTTTCAAAAGTACCTCTAGTTCTATATAAGGTTATGGGAAGACATCATTAGGCCCCCATTCTTCTTCTTTTGCTCCCTTTAGGGGTCACTGGGACTCACCTTATCTCTTACCTCAGAAAAGATTCACCATGCAATTCCGGATCTCTCCAGCACCTCAACTGGCTCCCTCCTCCCTTGGAGGAGGAGTCTGTCCTAGTCCTCCTTCTGTCCTCCCAGAAGGAGGACTAGGACAGACCCAGGATATGTTTAGAGATTCCACCTCTCATCTGGCTTGGAAGCACCTAGGTGTCCCGTTGCCAGAGGCAAAGGAGATGGCTGGGAAGAGAGAGGTCTTCTTTGATTAGACATCTATCCACACAACCCAGACGTACATGAATAAATGGAGGAGATTAGAAGTGAATGATTTACTAAGTTGAGTTTTCAGTGATGCAGCTGGACAGATCGATGCAGAGAGCCAGACAACCATTCACGCTCACATTCACACCTAAGGTCAATTTAGAATCCCTGTTTAACCCAACTCCACTAACTGCATGTCTTTGGACTGTGGGAGGAAGCCGGAGTACCTGAAGAGAACAGGACGTGTTTGCGTGCAAACTTGCTGTGAGTCAACAGCGCTTACCACCACATCACTGTGCCTTAGGCATACTCACAAACTAAAACAATAAAACAACCAGTGATTAACTTGGCCAAAAAGCCAATATATTCATCCAATCCTCCAGCAGGAGTAAGGCAGTCAAATCTGAATACTGCTGCCCTCAACAACAGCATGTGCTTACCTGTGATGCTACTCTGCTACATGTGCTGCAGAGTGCAATCTACAAACAGTGAAGCTGCTCTGACTTAGAGACTGTGACAGCATCATCCGTGAGCATTTTTCAGTAATATGTTCAGTTAAAAAAGAAAAGTTCATATCTGCACATGTTGAACAACAAATACATGAAGATAGTCTAACAATACATTTTGTTGAGGTCTGCAAAAGTCTCACTGAGTACAGTGTATGCCAAACC